GTCACCAGAGTTACTGAGCCGTTTATTATATCACTTATTATATTTTAGTATACTTTGATAATTAATTTCAGTCAGTGATGTTTCGTGTTTTTGGTTGTTGTTGAGCACAAAGCTACCCAAAGGACTGTCTGTGCTCTGCCCAACACGGGTATCGAAACCCGGTTTTTAGCGCTATAATCCTTCAGACTTACCACTGAGTCAATGGGGGCTGTGCTTTTGGCTTGACTTATAAACTACAATTTTTGGGATGTTTCATTCAGTACTATTAACATAGTATAAAGAATTCTGATAATTAATTCTATTAAGGGATGTTTCTTTTTAATTGACTAACACACCGATTCAATTATTTTGCTTAGTGCTATTCTTATGTTTAGCATGTTCTGGAAGCTTGATCTATAAAAAATGATATATTTTGTCAAAGTAGTCTTTAATTTATTCACTTACTAATCTCAGTGATATTTCAGGTTTTTTTTTTCTCAACGTGTTTTAATTGTTGAGCTACAGAACACAATGAAACACTACATTGTTCACGCCGTATGCTGCATATTGGCACTGCCTTTTCAGGTGTAACTTATAGGAACGTATGCTTTCTTTGTGAACTTTCATCTATTACACATGTTAGAAGGGAGCTAAACCACTGTTTCTCGTGGCACCATTTTCTTCCCCATCGATCAGTCTTCTTTCTGAAAACGTGGTCTTAATTAACCTTTTCATCGTCTTCCCTCGCCACAGTTCTCTTTGCCTTATTCCCTGTTTTCTACCTTATAATTTGACAACTAATTTCATTCGATTCATGGCACTACTTTAAAACATGGCATATAATCAAAAGAGAGATTAAGTGAGAGTAACTTAAATCCCCAACCTCTATAAGCGTTGGGTTTCCTCTACATTTTTTATTGTGAGATGTTGTCCTTATAAATTATATATGATCATACTGACTAGGTCGCTTATTGTTAATTTTTTGAAGATGCACAAATAAAAACTTAATCTGGAAAACATGGAATTATAATATTTGTAGACTGTTGACATACTACTTAACACAAAATATCACGTTGTTCTGGTATCGATAACTATTGAAGTTATTCTGTTTGAATATCACTTAAAACTTTGTTAACGCTGGTGCTGCCATCTCACAGCCTACTTGATAACTTCCTTGTTGAAGATAGTGGTATAATATCATAAAACTCGCTTTATGCACTGCTAGTTGATAACTTGTGGTCACTGATGATTTTTGCAATATATATTTGTGTATCTATCAAATAGCAAACATAGAACAACTTGCATGACACAGAAGAAAAGATATAAAGTAATCTAATTATAATATCAAGAAATATAAAGCGAGAAGCTGTTGTTGTTGTTTGTAATTAAGCACAAAGCTACACAATGGGCTATCTGTTCTCTGCCCATCACGAGTATCGAAACCCGGATTCTAGAGTTGTAAGTCCGCAGACATACCACTGTGCCACCTGGGGGCAAACGAGAAGCAAAAAACATCTAAATGTTATCGAAGTTAACTTAAAAGTAAAATAGTGTGTTACAAGCAAGATATAATGATATAGTTCTTATTCTACAAAGAGATGCGAATCGTTCGGCGAGTTTGCTTTACCTAGGCCTCTTCCAAAACCACTGTAGTAATCATCTCGAAAATATTTTTCTATACATTTCTTGTATGTTGTTGTATTTAAACCTTTTTTTTTCCAGTTTGTTAGATTTTGACTACTTACTGGAGTTTCACTTGTCTTAAATACACCTAACCTAATCTATTACATTCCTTCATTCCCTTTACTTCTGAAATTAATTCGTTGTACTTTGAATGCACAGTTTTATGCCGTTGTCGTTAATCCTGCGCATCATTAGCATTCCCCCCCCCCCCGTTATTCGGCAAGTTTTACCGGGTTTATGGAATCATATGTTTTTAATGTTTATGAGTTATATTGATCTAAACTAAAAGACCTCTTATGTACGTGGAGTAATAAGAAATCGAAAGAGCTTCTCTTCTCTTAATAACGAAGCCTTTTAATATATAGGTAAATACGTAGTTTAAACAGATAGATGAGATTTTGTATTTACTTAAGAGATAATGCTTTTCATACCTACGATAGGAAACATTTGTCTTCGTTGCCGAATTATTAGAGTTAAACGTGGGAAATTTCGCTATTTGCTTCGGCAGTCTTCGCGGTAGGTAAAATACGATCACTGGGCACCGAATAAGCCGAAGTCAAGCCACTTAATTCCGGCTCAAAGAGCGCTCTTCCCCCTCCCTGCTGTGATGACAGAACCGCCAAAACTACCAATAGATGAAATTAGGAAGACAGTCTATAAACAGAGCTTTAAAGAAGTTTAGCTCTGAAAAATAAAAAAATGAATACTTCAGAGAGGAACAGATGGTTGTAAACAAGATAGTCTTGATGCAGAGAACATGTCATATTCTCCGGAGGAAGTAAACCTGACATATGACACAGACAGTATTTATGTACAAACAGTTGTAGCTGATCAGAGAACATGTCATATTCTCCGGAGGAAGTATACCTGACATATGACACAGACAGTATTTATGTACAAACAGTTGTAGCTGATCAGAGAACATGTCATATTCTCCGGAGAAAGTAAACCTGACATATGACACAGACAGTATTTATGTACAAACTGTTGTAGCTGATCTAAAACGTTACAAGCGAACGAAAGTACCAGCTATAAAAAATCAGTAATATTTAAAAATATAGCAAACATGAACATGAAAACGTATAAAATCAAGAGCGGTTCGTGCCTAGGTGGGTAGACAAAGAAAATATCCCGCAAATCGTCTCATCAAAGTATGTTCAAGTTGAAAAATACAAGTTAACCCATCTGAATGGAGACCAAATAAAAAGGGTTACGAAATTCAATACCCATAGGTGTCATTAGTGTGTCTCAACCACCTCTTAAAATGTACAATAGAACTAACTCTTAAAGGTATCAACATTTTTTTATATATACATTAATTTCTTATGTTTCATGAATAACCCATTATACAGAGTGTGTATATCGCGAAAACAAACTACACGCGTCATTTTATTGGTTAATAATAATATGCTATAAATACCTACTGATTCAATAGCTTTTCCCTTAAACACAAATACAATGATCAGCATGTTTTGCAGGTATTCAGATTTATTGTTATTTTCGTATGTAGCTTCAAAATTTCAATGGAAATAAACTCCTCTATGTAAAACGCACGAAGTAAAATAAAAATGGTTATAGGTTGTAATTTCATTCTGATCTCAAAGAAAGTTTACTCGTCTAGAAACTGTATGCTACATCGGATTTCTTTAGAATGTACGTTGTTTTCCACCAACAGCCGGTATTTTATTGTTTAATAATAACTTCCATGAAAAAACAAATTATTCAATCATTCACTTCCTGTATTTTAGGCAGAGTAAACATGATAGAACGTTTCGTTTTTAGTGTTAGACGTACACTAAATTCAAAACTAATTTGCCCTTATAGATGTATAATAATAAAACTAACAACTTTCCACTCATTACTGATAGATAAATAGATAGATGGAATATCAGTTAGAAATAAGTAAGACAGAGTAATAACTAGACAGACAGAGTTAGCTATCAATTAAGATTTATAATAAAAGTTTTATGTAAGCACAAAGTTCGTCTGCATGAAGCGCACGATCATTAGAAATTATATATTTTCCAATAATAAGTACAAATAAGAGAGAACATATAGGACTGACAAATGGGCTAAATTATACGCTTCAGCACAACAACACTCCACTGTCCTCCGGATAATACAACCAGATAAGACATGGAGTCTATTTCTTTAAACCCTTTGTTTATGCTGGTACCTCACCCCAACTAATCTCCCTCTAGCTTAGAATATAGATATATTTAGGCTGAGAACGTTACGAGGAGAAGTAGCTTTCTTCATGGGGAATATGGAGAAAAGGGAGGAGTAGTTATGATATGCGAGTCATGATAGACGTTCTTCGGTTCACCTTACTCAATATAAAACCGTCCTGTTGTGGTATCATTAAGCCACTGTTTATCAATCAGAATACAACTTTCTTTCATATGTAAATCAGCTTGTCCTACACGTTTCTTTATTATGTAAAACCTGAATACTATAAAAAACACGTGTATCAAAGTAAATTCGACAGTAATACGACATGCCCACAACAGAGTATGCTTATTAAATTACTTAATCCAAGATCAATGGTCAGTTATTGACGTTATTCTGGCAAACTTAATAGATTTGACCTAAGG